ACAACAACAACAACAACAACAACAACAACCCCCCCCCTAAATAACAACCAAAAACCCCCAACAAATACAAACCAAAACAAAAGACCCATAAAAGACAAAAACAAAAACAAAAGACAAAAAAAAAAACCCCACCAAAAAACCCAAACCCTATAAAAAAGTGTTTAACCTAATTTATTGGTAGACAGACAGTTTATAGTCGGGACATCAACGATACCTACATACATAATACCGTGATTTATCTCTCACGAGAGTGTGTCTGTGTGTACAAATGTGACACAAATGTGACACATGACCTTTTTATGGACACACTTCGGACACCTGCTGTGTCTGCTATGGCCACACAGTGACACGGACTGACTTTTATTGACGGGTCAATAGTACTAATATTACAATCAACCGCTTTTTTGGTTTGAGTTCATTTAGTTAAGACACGACATACTTTAATACGATCAACCTCTTTTTGGTGCAAGTTCAGTTAGTTCAGACGCACTTGTGGGTGGTTTGCGGGTGCTCTGGTGTGATTTGCTTCTTCTTTCTTATCAAACATCTCTCGTCCTTATCTCCCCTTCTTCTTTTTTTATGTTTGTTACTCTCTTGTAACACCTCAAATCTTCTGGCGCTTATATGACCTTATGCAGGTGCGAGTGCCGTAAAACCTCTACTATTACTAAAACATCAGACGCACTTTCGTTCATTATGTACAGTAGAATTGTGAATGGGCTGATTTATCAATGCCATGCTCATACCCTGATCTCTCCACCTTTTTTAAAATGTTTGTTGCTCTCTTGTAACACCTGCTCTAATCCTCGGCACTTATATGACCTTATTGTGTTGCAAGTGCCGTAACACTCTTACGAAAACAAAAAACTAAAATCAACCATGTCGCGTTGTGTTGTTTCAGGGTCGCAAGTCTCACAACCGCATCCATGAGGACGCCGGAGGGGGCATCTATGTGGTGGGAGTCACTACACGGCCTGTGGCCTCCCTGGAAGATGTAAGTATTGTGTGTGTGTGTGTGTGTGTGAGAGTGTGGGGGGGGCATCTATGTTGTGGGAGTCACCACCAGACCTGTGGCCTCCCTGGAAGATGTAAGGACAGATGACCACTGGTCAAGTCCAGTCTCCTCCTCCTCCTCTTCTTTCCTGTCAGACGTTTACCGTCCTTGTCAAACTCAAATACAGTATTGAAAGGGGCGTAAAACTCATCATATTATACAGCATCATAAGATTTCTCTGACAAGCTCTCTATTGTCAGCAAACTTTTGACAAAACTGGAAATGTTGAATGTGTCCCGCGCGCTCATGTGATGACCTCAATATGCAGTTGCGAGCGCCGTAAAACACTTCCAAAAAATCCCCAAGAAACAAAAAACAACAACCCCAACAACAACAACAAAACAACAACAACGC